ATGCTGTTAAGTTGAGCTGTGGGGGACTCAGGTCAATAATTTCTGACATTGCCAGTTAAACAGAAGACCCAATGCTATTATGGGCTACTGGACTCTTTTTAGAATATTTTGCTGAGTTTACACACCTATAATATTCAATAACGGAACTTACAAAAAATGGGGTATACCGATGAATGTCCATTTTGTATCTGTATTCAAAGAGGTTGGGATAGATATATAGTTGCATTCTCTTATTGAATAGAATGATTTGTTCTAATGGTGTTTGTAAATAGGATCACAGGTCCGCATCTTGTACAGCAACTAACCACTGAGAAGAATATATGCAGTGTATTATTTGTTGAAACTGTACTTCCGATTTGATTTGAAACTGTCTCATTGCTGTTTATCAATAAAACTTTGGGAAAAAAAAACTAAAAAAGAAAAAAAAAAAGAACTTACGATGACACTGAGTCTACTTTATGAAGTACAGAAGAAATCACAATTTCTAGCAAGATATCAAATGAAAAATGGGAAAGAGTGATTGCTCTGGCTTCCTGCACACAGATTTCAAGCAGTGCGTGTGCTAAATGCGAGACTAAACACAGAAGTTTAAGGGGAGCAGCACTTGCAGAGAAGAGAAAACCTCAGCCACTGTCACCTGCTAATTCTGTTTTCCCTTCCAGCTTCCAGCTTGCAAGCCCCCATCCCTTCCTCTTCGTCCCAGTGTATGTACGGCACGTCCAGCCAGTATCCTCCAGTACAAGAAGCTTTGGACTCCCACGGAGCAAGTGGAAGCGACCTTGTGTCCTCTTTGCCACCCATCAACACTGTGTTTATGGGCACAACAGGGGGAGGCACCTAGCCAACCGCGTCCGTCCGTGGGGGGTGTAGAACTTCTGAACGCTTTAGCGGTGCCGTTCACTCAGCTGTGGTGGAAGTGAAGGGAATGGTGGTGCTCATGCCACAGACAGCTCCACGGCGCTGGAGATGCTTGCGGTTGGCCTTGCATGCACGTAGTTGAAGGTGTGGCCTCCTTGGTAATCATGGTTTTAAACACTATCAAATGAAAGCAGTGGAGATTTGAAGATATAAATATTTCAACTCTGAAGATTTACTATTTTATTCTGTAATTTATGAAAATCTGTATGCTCCTTCCTCTTTGGTCTCTAAAACAGAAAAAGAAGTACTATATTTAATGCCTTTACAATACCTTTAATTTATTAGGCTCTGAGAATCATTGTTTATTATTGCTTGTTTGACCAAAAGTCAAAAATGTATGTCCTACCTCCTCTGCAAATGTTTACAATGTCCACTTAATTCAATCAGCCCAGACCAAAGGGGCTTGACTCTCAATTCCTGGACATTAGCAGGATGATTCCTGTTATGTAGCAGTAGCCCAATTCTGTGTAACTAGACAGAGATATTTTTCCTCTATTTAAAAAGATAAAAAGAAATAAAATAAAGTATGGAAACATTTCTAAAGTCTTAGTTGGTCTTGGGCGGGTACTGTTTCTGAAGGAAGCTGAGGATTTCCAGGGACAGCGCTTCTGGATATTAGTTGAAAAAAATAAGGCTGGTTGATACCCTAATTTAACAACCCTGCATATCAGACCCATCTCTATAAATATTCAAGAAATGTGACTTGTGGACTATTGTGTGGACTGTTTGTGTTCTTGGAGTTGCAAGGCGTTCTATTGAGCACTTTGCAAGAAACTGAGAGTGAATGAGAATTCTGCCTTCCCACAGAGACCAAGGGTGATTTGGAAATAAAGAATTCATCACAGAAAAGTTAATGTAAGATTAAAGGCTTGAAATGAAACAGGGCACAAAACAGTTTTAAGAAATCTTTGGCCCTAAGCCTTAAATTAGTAACCAGGATTTCAGTGTATGGTGCTTGCCTGTATTTTAATGTCCAACATGTATCAGACATTGCTCAAGATAACAGAGAATGCAAAGACGTGAACAATCAGGGCACACAATTAGAACATTCTGATATAAAGAAAAGAGGGGGATCTGACAGGAAATAGAACCTCACCAAAGATTTTTGAGATAATGACAAAGTGGGGGATGATGTTCCAGGAACTTCTGGCGCCAGTGTGGGAGAGAAAGTGAGGTGGACGTATGGAGTCATCAGCTACGAAGGGCTGCTTGGGAGGGCAGTTCTGCCATCGAGAAGTCCAGCAGAGAAGCACAGAGATTAATTGGGAGGACATGCCAGAGAGAGAGAGGAGAAAAGAGCAGACTCACCCCTAATCACTGAGCATCACTGGAAAGAATAATCTGAAGGACTTTCCCAGCCCTGCTTGCATTTGTGTTCCTACCTGTGTGCAAGCCATGACCATGGAAACCGGTGGCCGCAGAGCACAGAGAAATTCAGAAGGCAGGCGAGTGGCACCTCTGGGCCTCGCGTGCAGCTTGCCGCATCGCAGGCCTCTCTTCCAGGAAAGGCAGGCGACTTCTCTCGCTGGTGTAGAGCTGGAACTTGGTCTGCTGGAGGTGAGCACATTGTGCAGTGAGGGCTCCCGGCTTTCATGCAGGGCCGCCTCTTGTTCTGCAGCGCTACTCTGCTTCTGTCCTGGACCCTCAGCCACCGAAGGCCAGCAGAGCTCCCCTCGAGTCACCATGGCAGTCAGTACACTCCCCATGTTTCCAGATACTCTGCGTAATCAGTGCCAGCGCCACGTGAGTCAAAGGTGGCTGCACCTTTAAATTTTATGTAAGAGGAAGATGAGATAAACAATAACCTCTCTGCTCCTCAGTTACATTCAGCATTTAGGCATTTTCTCTTAATACGTTAAAGTCTGGATTCTCAAGGCATTTTGTAACATGTTTTTATTAACTTTAATATAAAAGCTGTAAGGATAATAACTTTATAGGGTTTGTGTTCAAAAAGAAGTTAGTTATTCTTTAAATGCTTTTGGTTGGAAATTGTAGAGTATTAATATAAAGAAGTAACCTGCTTAACCTAATGTGCCGTGAAAGGTAAACTTAAGGTTAGAAACCAGAATTTAAGAATGTCAGGGTTGTAACTCAATTCTCAGAGTGCCACTTCAGATTTTCTGTAGGGGCTATAAGGAAAGTGCAAGATGACAAATGTTCAATTAATTCAGTGAATTTGTAATGCAATTTAGAGACCAAGAACGTGCTTTGGAAGAATTTGAAATCCAGCGCGTCCCTAACTTTGCATCCCGAATCCAAAGGGACTTGGTTTATTTCCTCTTGCTAGTCAGTACTACACTAGGAAAAATCCGGGCGGTTCCAAATTATACACTCTCACAAATACTTGCAGTTCAGGAAGCATACTTATTAAAATTTTTTAAAAATTAAGCTAAATTCTAATTGCACTTGTGATGTAAAAACCTTTCTCTTTGTTCCTGCCTCAGGCAAGAAGGATTTAAGGGCCCTTCAAGGTTTTACTATGTGGGTCTGTTTTATAAAGAAAAGCATGGTGCTTTTGCTTGTCACTGTTTTTTTTTAAATCCGTAGTTCTCGAAAGTCAGCTCAAGTAGTGCATTCCATAAAAGAAAAAAAGGGGAAAAATGAAAACAGAGGAATAAAGAAGGCATCGAGGAGAGAGCAAGGGAGATAGGATGGAAACAACTCTGAGATAAAGGAAGCCTGAAACCCAAACCCAAATCCCCAACTTCTGAGAAAAGCTGGAGGCAAATGGCAGCGACATACCTGGACCCCCAGAAGGGGCTATGACGGGTGCCGTGTAGGAGTGCAAAGTGAATCAGGACAACAGGGTCACAAAGACAGCCATGTGCTCCTACGAGGCTACTGTCCACACTGTATTTTAAGGGCAGATTTGCAAGCCAGAATGAATTATAGAAATTTAAACAAAAGCCTTCCAGAAAAGTAAACAGTAACGATTATGACATTCAGTACATTTTGTTCTTTGGAAAAGATAAGAAAGATGAATTTATATAAAACATTATTGTACCATCTCATTCAATTACTGAACTCTAAATTAAATCCTTGAGTTTGCAAATGGCAGAGAACACAACCTATCTGTTCTAAAAGCACAATGATTAAATGAAAAAAAATAAATTTCATTAACAATGGCTGGAAAACATTGGTTGCTTTAAGTGTATTCTGGTAAGTAATCTAGTTACTAATTGTGAAATACTCCATGATAAAGTCTTAGCTCTGTTCTGATTGCTACATTTTTCAAGTACTTTTCTAACATCAAAATCTTATAAATAAGGCTTAATTTTAATTAATCTTTGCTATATAATGTCACAGTACAAATGTTTTTATTGTAAAAACAATTATTTTTCCAGAATGAACAAAATAATTTTTGTAGAATTTAATCTACTGGGGGCTGGGGAGATAGCTCAGTAGAATAAATCTTGCCTGACAAGCACAAGGGCCTGAGTTCAATCCCCTGTTCCGCAAAAAGAAAAAAAAAAAAAAGACCTAACTTGCAAGAGAGCTGATTTTTTTAACCAAAATTTCCCTTTAAATATTTGTAATTTCCATCTTATTCATACAAAAATGAACAAGGATAGAGTTAGTCACTCATGGGCTTGACTTCTCGTCTGTCATGCCCTGGAGTCTCCCTGTCTACTCAATAGCACAGGAAACTTTGGGTATAAATATAGGGCACCATTAAGGTCCTGTTCCTACTCAAACCTTTATTTCCATATTTACAAATCTTTTATTTACTCTCAATATTTAAAATTTATTTATTCCTTCATTAATTTGAATAAAATATCATGGTAGTGTTCATAATGGTTTTGTTAAGGAGTTGGTGTGTTGAAGTTCCAAAAGATATCTTCTTTTACCCCAGTTTTGACAAATACACCAGCTTTTATTGGTACTAAGAGCACCAGAGCCCTCCACCCTGGGCCCAGTGTGTTATGGAGGAATAAAGACATCAGAGTGTAGCTTCATGTCTTCGCTTCTTTCTTCTGTCTGATGTGGCCAATGAAAAGAGAGCCACATTTGTGGGAAGTGAAGGATGCCCTGGCACCTTTAGGGAGAGTGAGACCATGGCATGTCTCATGGAAAAGGAGTGACACCAGCCAGGGCAGCTTCCAGGAAGGAGAGACGCTGGGTGGCTGAGGGCTTCTAGGATTTTAGGCTGCTTGGTGAGTCTTTGGGGCACAGGAGTGCTGAGCTGCAAAGCACTCTGGACAGGAGCTAGGTGTATGACCTGTGAGAGAGACGTGGCAGGACATGGAACATCAGAGGGCCACACGTGGGAAGAGGGCCTGAGGCCCGCAGCAAGGCTTTTTCAACCAAGGCTGGGCCCTTTCTCGACACAACAGGGGGAACTTGTGCCAAGCTGTGAAGAATCACTGGAGGCTGGAGGCTACCGCTGAGGTCTTGGTGAGCTCCAAGAGGCTGAAACATTTCCGTCAAGATAGCAGTCTAGTTCTCCTAGAGTCTGCCATGTGAAGTTATTTAGTGGTTTTTTATCCCCCTTATGTGTTCCAGGGCAACATGCAATCAAGGAAGAGAATCTCACGCAATTTTATTTTCATTTTTTAATTTTTTCCCATAATTTCATTGATACAAACAGCAATGAGACAGTTTCAAATCAAATTGGTGGGATAGTTTCAATAATTAGCACATTGCATACATTCCTCCCAGTGGTTAATTGCTGTATAAGATGCGGACATGATATCTGATCTACAAACACCATTAGAACAAATCACTCTATTCATTAAGAGAATGTAACTATATATCTATCCCAACTACCTTGAATACACAGATACAAAATGGACATTCATCTGTATACCCTTTTTTTGTTAAGTTCCGTTATTTGAATATTATAGGTGTGTTAACTCAGCAAAATAATCCAA